TTTTTTTTCTTAAAAATATTAATTTGTTATAATAAAATTAATTTTAATTAATATTTCATATAATTTATAAATATTATTAATATATAAGATTCTTTTAATATAATTATTTTAATAATAATACAAAATTTTTTTCACAATAGAATATTAAAAAAATATCATTCACAACCACCCCACTTTATAATACTTTCAAATATAACTTGTATTATTCTCTAAACTAACAGTAGAGAAGAATGAACCGAATCTTCTGTTTTTATGGTTAATTTTCAATCCTTAAGTGCTTGGGTATAATTAATCAAAAGTTCAACTTTCATTAACGGTTTGAACAAAAAAACCTCTATTCCTCAAATTTCCCTATGTTTAAAAAAAAAGAAAAAAAGTAGAGAAGAGTAAAATAACATATATTACAATCCCAAGCGTTATTGGCTTTTCTTTCTATTTTTAATTTTTTAAGAGAAAAAGGAATTTAAAAAAATATGTACTTGTTTCCGTACTTATTTTCGCTTAAGAAATTTTTGTAATTTAATACTCCCGACATCCATTTACTTTATCTACAGTGATATCATTCTCATTTTATGCCATTCTGTCCCATTACTCCCAAAGAGGAATTTACCGAAATAGAATAAATTCACCCATCATTCCGCAAGCTATCCCAGGATAAGAATATTGTAACATTGTAAAACAAATTCGACTAATGAAATGACTTCAGGAGCACCATTCATACACATATATATTCAGTTAGCTTTATAATATAAAATATATTCCATATGCTGATACGGGCAAAACATGTTTAAAACGTTTAATAGCTTGGAAAAAAATACAGTGTTAGGGGTTGGCTTACTCATCCAGCTAAAACTTGGTCTTGAACACACAGAATATTTGAAAGTGTATGAATCTGGAGGATAAGGCCTTCTACCAGTTCTACCTTCCCAGGAATCTCAATTACACTTGAAACTATAGCCACAGACAATTCCCATGACCCAATAAGCTTGAGAAAAATAAACTGATGAAATACGATAAAAACATACACATCTATATAGTCATGACAAACAAACAGCTCATGATGACAAAAGCGGGATAAAAAATGTTGTTTAGTACCCTCTTTTATTTGATCTGGTATCTCAAACATTACTCCCAGTTCATAAAAGCATGCAATGCTTTGGAAAAAGAATGCAGCAGCATTACGAAGTTTAGGTACAAAAGCAACCATTTTTTGGCAGAAGTCCCTGAATCTGAAATTGGCATAGTCAAATATGCTAGATTAATATAAGAAAAACAATGTAACCATCATTTCAGTTTCGTAAATAGTTTTGGTGCAACCTGCAGCAAACAAAGGAAAAATCAGCACAAATAATGATAACATGAAAAAAGAAGACAACTAAATAAAGATACTCACGCATTTATCAATACAAGACCAATAATCAAAATATTGGCCAGTGCAGTGCTTGTGCCCAGTTTCATCACCTTGGATCCGCTTAACACATGCCTATAGCCACGACATAGCACATTAGTTTCAAACAAGTATAATTATAAGGGATAGATGTTTCAACATAAGAGAATAAGACTTCAAGGCAAGAATATCATACATATAAGACAGGAAAGTGAAGAACTACAACTCCTTTTAGTATCATTGTTGTTCCTAGTTTGGTTTTTCAATTTTGGTTGTAAAAAATCTAGCAACACTAGATTAAAACAAACAGATTTAATAAATTAAACAGGTTTTCAGATTTTGTTTTTGGAAACTTGTACCGAACAAGTTATCCGTTTTGATTTTTAATTATGGTTTACAATCGTCAGTTTTGGTTGCCAAATCTTTTACAACCAAGACTAAAAGCCAAAAACAACAATAATACCTAACGGAGCCTACTTTCTCACTAAATGATATTTTAATAACCTATTAAATATCTTAGCGAACTCTTCCATGTCAAAAGATTACCATATTGCATAAAATCAAAAAGGGTTTTTGATTCAACTTGATTAAATTAGACATTAAACATTTGACATAAGGTGAGACATCAATTAAATTCAGATTATAGGAGTCCAAAGAAAACTTGTTTCATGAAAATTTTTAAGAATTAATTATTTTTACTGATCGTATCTTATTTAATTCCTTTCTTCCAAGTACAAATCAATTCCTAGATTAAGTTATTCTTACATGATATCTATGCCATCTGAGTATTTTATTTATGCCCAGTCTTTACCAAATAAAAATTATGCCCTGCCAGAACCAATTTAACATGAAACAGGGATATACTCTAAAGGGAGCAAATCATCAGAAAACTATTTCAAAATTCAAAAAGTACTAATGCATTAGACAAACCTGATACTCAAGTAATGGTTTCACACATTTGGGCTTGCAAGACTCTTCAAAATACTTCTTCTGATCAGCAACTTCCTCATCCGCCCTAAATCAATAAAATATAAATGGAGCACATACAAGGATAAAGAATGATATAGGAACAAGCAGCAGAATAGAATTAAAACATACTTTATATTTTGGGGAAAATGCATATCAGTCTTGACTCTCAAAAAAAAATTTGAAGTCGTAACCTTAAATTGCGTCGTTTTATTCAATTAAAACTCAATTTAAAATTTAAAAATTTGTCTTATTAAATATTGATATTTGGATTTAGAAACTAATTGGATTTTTTAATTTTGAATTGGGATCTCAGTTTCTAAATAT